GGAACCCTGGCCCCCTACATTGGGAGCTCAGAGCCTTAGCCACTGGACCACCAGGGAAGTCCCTACCCTAGCATCTTTAATCTTGCTAAAAAATCCCACCCCTCTGGTACCTTTCTCACACCCACTCCCACCACTGCTCCTGGGCATCCAGGGAACTTTCTATTGCTTCCAGGCCGTGCTGGAAGTTACAGGGGGAGCTGTTTAGGGTGCTTTCTGCATAAACACTCTAGGATGCCATGCTTCCCGGGGGTCTCCCCACCCTCTGGGGCACTACCTGAAAGTGAACTCCAGGCCCTTCTGTTCTCCATTTTCACATGCTCATCAGGGCTTCTGCAGCCTCCCTGGGCTCAGCCCTTAATCAACTGTCCTTCATTCATTTGCTCATTTGACCACTATTTTTTTTTTTTTTTTTTTTGCGGTACGCCGGCCTCTCACTGTTGTGGCCTCTCCCGTAGCGGAGCACAGGCTCCGGACGCGCAGGCTCAGCGGCCATGGCTCACGGGCCCAGCCGCTCCGCGGCACGTGGGATCTTCCCGGACCGGGGCACGAACCCGTGTCCCCTGCATCAGCAGGCGGACTCTCAACCACTGCGCCACCAGGGAAGCCCCTTGACCACTATTTATTGGACATTCCCCTTGCGCTCAGCACTGTTCTTGACACCAGCCATTTGGTGAACAAGACAGGGGCAGTGGAAGAGACCAGCAGTCAAGAAGTTACTTCCTGTACACGTGATGCCAGTAGTAACTGTTATGCAGAAAAATTAAGTGGGGAAAGGGGACAGAGAGAGATGGGGTACTTGAGGTCCTGGGTCCCCAGAAAGGTTGTCAGAAACGGGCGCCCTTCCTTCCATCACTGGTCCAGATATCCAGGAATGGTATCATTCTTGATTTCCTATATAAGTGAGTTTGATAGCTTTTTAATTTAATTTTATTTATTTTTGTCTGCATTGGGTCTTCGTCGCTGCGCGGGCTTTCTCTAGTTGTGGCGAGCCAGGGCTGCTCTTTGTTGCGGTTTGCGGCCTTCTCATTGCGGTGGCTTCTCTTGTTGCGGAGCACGGGCTCTAGGTACACAGGCTTCAGTAGTTGTGGCTCACGGGCTCTAGAACGCAGGCTCAGCAGTTGTGGCTCTCGGGCTTAGCTGCTCCGCGGCATGTGGGATCTTCCTGGACCAGGGCTCGAACCAGTACACCCTGCATTGGGAGGCGGATTCTTAATCACTGCGCCACCAAGGAAGCCCCGATCGCTGTTTTGAGAGGCTCCCGTGCCCCACCATTTATGGGATGGCGGAGTAGTGATTGAGTCGATTCTGTTCCCTGGAGAGAATGCCAGCGACGGTTCAGGTAACCGTGAGCATTTGCATTGGAAAACGAAGACAGTCCCTCTTTGCAAAGAACATCTTGACTAGTGAGTCACGATGGGGATCGCCGCCCGCGGGTTGGAAACGTTGGAGATGCAGAGGATACGGGATCTTTTAAAGCTTCTCCGAGTTGGGGGTGGGGGGGAAATCTCTCTGCTTAGTGCCCCCATTGCCCCCGCCCTCTCCGCAGTCTTTCTTCCGCTGCTCAGGCCAGGCCCGTAGTGCCGGCGACAGCCACGAGATGGCAATGTCGCTCTACGCTTGTTGCCCGGCGGGCGCGTGGGCTGAGCTGGAGCAGAGCGGCGGGGCGGGGAAGGGCGCCAGAGGGCCCGCGTTGGGTGCGGCTGCCTGGTGGGTAGGCGGTGGTGGGGCCTGGGGGAGCCTAGCCCGGAGGAGAGGGCCTTGGGCCGGGGGCCGAGGCTGGCTCCTAGTTGGACCTGCCTCCCCACATTTACAGAACGTAGGGCAGGACCATTCCTGGCCTCAGTTTCCCCATCTGTACACAAGGGGAGAGTTTGAACTGTGTAATTCTTATGATCCTGCCCCAAGCTCTGAGGCCAGCAGGCTGGGGGTGAGAATCCGGGATTTTCTGGGTGGGGGGATGGGGTGGGAGGCCTGGGATCTCCTAGGTCGCTACTGCCAGTCCCTCCCGCCTTGCCTGAGCACCTTCAGGATCCAGGAAGGCCTTTTCTGCTCAGAATAACCCCTGAAATACTCCCATTAGATAGAGACTCAGGGGCCTGATTAATATGCAGAAATTCTCACCCATCCGCGGGATAGGCTGAGGCAGGGCTGGAGTTCTCATCTCTACTGACGTATGAGCTCAGAGAGGGTTAGGTGCTTGTCCAAAGTCACACAGCCCGGGCATGGAAAAGCCACCTTCAAAACCAGATCCATCTTCTCAGCTTCTGGTTCCACCATCGTCAGCCTGGATCAGGGAGTGGGGGAACCGTGTCTACCTCAGCTCCTGAACAGCAGGACTTAGAACAATACGTGAGCGGGGCTCCAGAGGGAGTGGGCTGTGTGCAGGAGTCTGTTTTAGGTGGTGTGGTCTGGAAAGGCCTTTCTGAGGAGGCGACATTTGAGCTGAGATCTGAAGGGAGAAGAGGCCACGGCGGGAAGACCCCAGAAAGCTGGGGCCAAGAGTAGGAGACAGCGAGAGCAAAGGCATAGAGGTGGGAAGAGGGCGAGCCCAGGATCCTCAGGGAGGCGGGGCCGGCTGGGGTGCAGACGCGGGCCGGGTGGCTCTGTGGGGTGCGACAGGGTGGTCCTGAGTGGGCGGAGGCAGGTGATCACTGTCTGTCGTCACTGGGATACCATGTGACCCTTGGCCTGGGGACTCACTGAACCCATTCAACCCCTCCCCATGCATCCCTGCTAGAAAATGACTTCTCCTCCTTGGCCACAGCCCCTCCCCCAACCCTGCTGCCTAGTCAAGATGCCTGGGGCATCTTGACATACACACCGTGGGTCACTCCTACTTTGTGCCCCTGTGGTGGCTGTCCCTCGAGATCCCTTGAGTTTGGGTTTTCCCCTCTTATGAGCTAGAGAACTCACCCCTACCATCACCCCACACGGGCCTGGCACGCAGTGGGTGCTCCACTCAGCAAATACTTATGAATGAGTAAGTGGGAAAGAGAAGAGGTGGCTTTGGCAGCTGGGCACGCAGGATCCCAAGAAAGGTCTGGCAGTGTCTCAGGGGAGATGGTCACAGAGAGGGGACAGGCGGGTCCCGTGCAAGGCCACCCCAGTCCCAAGGAGACCGCCCACCGTCCAGCCTGTCATGTGGCTCTCCCTGCATCCCAGGCTCTGAGCCCAAAGGGGGCTCAGCCAGGGCATGGGTTCCTTGCATAGGGAGTCTATTAGCTTATGGGGAAAATCCCTTAATGTCTCGCAATCAACCTGGGCCTGCGACTGGCCACCTGCCCCGAGTTCTTTCTTCGTTCTTTTATCTAGGAAGAGCTGAGTACCGCCTCTGCTAATGAGCTTGTCTGTACTAATGAAGCAGATGCCCTGTCCGCTCCCCCCCCCCCACTCCAATCTCTCCTTGCCAGCTGGGAGGGGCAGGGGATTGTTCTGATGTGCACGCTGGGCCCACAGAGGAAAACCAGATACATAATAATAATGACCATCATGATGAGAATGATAATGTGGACAGCGGATCCCTTTACATGAGCTCTTACTTCATAGGTCAGGGGCTTTACATACGTGTTCTGGGACACCAGGCAGATGCTGCAATGGCTTCCATTTCTCAGATGGGGAGACTGAGGCTGGGGAGGTTAAATGACTCCCTCCAGGGCACAGCTAGAGTGGCAGAGCAGGGATTCTCTGCCAAGACTCCATGACTCTGAAGTCTTCCCCAAATTTGTCTTTGCCTCACCCTCCGTACGCTGCCTTATTGACTGTTTCCAAAGAGTTTGACCCACTGTTTTCACGGAGAACCGAGACTCTGGAGCCAGTGGCTGTTATGATGGGGCTGAGGGCAGAGCAAAGACTCCGACGCAGGTGGACCCCTCCCCCCCACCAGGCCCCCGCTCTTCTGGCTGTGGGGCAACTTTCAAGGCATCTGAGGCCTGCAGGCGGTGTCCGCACGTGCGCCCAGCATGCTTCATCAGTTTTGTTTCGCCCCCGTGGCCGAGCTCGGCTTGGGGGTTGGGACGCCCGGGGGAGGGGGGGGGAATCTAGGACTTCCGGAAAACTGGTACTGTGGCCCCCGCCGAGGCCCTGCCCACGGGCTGGAGGAATCCGACCACCCGGTCCCCATCCCCGCCTCTGCTACACCCCCGCGCGGTCGTTGTTTGACCCCGCGCCGCCGGGAACTCGTTCCGGGGACCGCTCTGGCCCGCGCCCCTCCCTCCGCGCGCTCTTAGGGCCTGCGAGAAATGGGCAGGCGTGGCCTCTCGCTCGGGTAAAGAAGGGCCCCCGAGGGTCTCCGCTTCTCGCCACCCGTGGGGCGCCATCCCTGAGGCGCCATCGGTCTCGCTCAGGACCCCTGACCGCGCCCAGCCAGCGCACCCAGCCCCGATCCTAGGGCTCTGTAGGAACTCCTCAGGTAGCCCCCGACTCCCGGAGGCCACCCCTGTCCTCCCCTCCCCACAGGCACCCCCAAGCTGTGCCAGATGTACCCCAGGACCTCTGGGCTGCGCTCCGTCTCCCAGTCCGTCCCCCGCAGACACCGCCCCTCCAGACGTCGTTGCCCCATTCCGAGGACCCTCCCCGTCTCCCTCATCCCGCGACCTTGGGAACTCCCGCCTACAGCCCGAACGCGCCCGGATCTGTCCGCACTTTGCCCAGTAAGTCATCCGTCCGGCGGTCCCGGTCCCCGCCAACGCCCTGACCACCCCCGCAGGGCTCCCCAGGCCTCTGCGGCCAGGCGCCCTCCCCCGGGGACGCCGGGAAGTGGCACGTCCCGCCGCCTATCGCCGGGCGGCCGCCTGGTGCCCCGTCTCCCGGCGGCGGGCCCCTCCCCCGGCCTCCCCGGCCCCTCCCCCCTCCCGCCTCGCCTCCCTCCTCCCAGGCGCTCGCGCGCTCGCTCACTCTCTCGCTGGCTCGAGGGGCGGCCAGCAGCTGGCGCGGGCAGAGGCGGCGGCGGCGCGACCGGGATGGGACGGGCGCCCGGGCGCGGGAGCCGCGGCGGCGGCCGCGGCGGGGGCCGAGCAAGTCGGGCCAAGTGCGGGGCCGCCGGCCAGGGCGCCAGGCGCTGAGCCCCCGCGGCCCCCGGCTCCCCGGCCGCGCACGGCCGAGCCCGAGAGAGCGCGCTGAGGCGCAGCCCGGGAAGCGCCGCCAGCGCCGGCCGCCTGCGTCTGGGGAAGAGCGGCGCCCTGGGAGCGAGCCATGCCCGGCGCCCGAGCGTAGCCGCGGGGGCCGCTCCCGGGAGCCGCGGGCCGGGCCCACCGCGCGCCGAGGACCATGCCGCCCCCGGGCCGGGCGCCGCCGCTCGGGCTCCTGCTGGCGCTGACGGCGCTCCAGTGCCCAGGTAACGCGCGTCCCCGGACCCCATCCCCGACCCCGGCCGCCGCGCATAAAGTTGGCTCCCGCACGGGGCGGCCACCTCCTTCTCAAGTCCCCGGTAGCTTGCGTCTCCCGGACTTGCACAAATCTGGGGAGACTCTGGGAACCCAGGGGTCTCCAGCCCGTACCCCTTTGCCCAACGAGAGAGCCCGCCCGCCTTCCTCCCCAAACCTCCAGCTCCCCTGCGGATCCGTTCAGGGCGCAAGGGGGCAACCGGCCGGGTGCGCTCAGCCTCACCAGGCGGGTTCCAGAAACCGAGTCCCCTCCCCGCCCCGCCTTGGGGCAGCGTCCCCCCAGGACCCGGTTCCCGCGGCGGTTTTGCGGTGGCAGGGAGTCGGTGGGCCCCTTCTGCCGGTTTCCTGATGCCCACGGACGCACCGCCGGCTTTCCCAGGACACCTGCGGGGCCCCACCTTGAGGTCGCCTCGGTCGGAGCCGTCTGGCTGGTCCGCAGCCCCTCCCCACCCTCCTGCTTTTACATCCCTGCCGAAGGTGCCCCCTCCCCAAGTGGCCTCCCCTTGGCTGCTGCGTAGCCCGCTGCTCGCCTCCTGGAAACGCGGGCTGCCCCAGCGCCCTGACCCTAGGGCGGCCAGGCAGTTCAGGGCGCGCAGGGCCGCCTGGAACGTGGTACTGGCCAGAGCCATTGCTTGGGTACCGTGGAGCCGGGCTCCCCGCTGGCACCGGCGCAGCTGTCGCCGAAACCTAGCGAGTGGGAAAGGCAAAATAGTCAGGTATTTTGGGTCTCCGCTGGAGTTTGGAAAGCTTTCTCCCACCTTGGTGTGGCTACACGTTGGTCCTAGAGGACGTTTATCCTAAAATGCCAGTTCCTCCCCGCCTCCCACCCCAAGCCGCGGAGAAAATTCTAAAGGCTCAGAGGAACCGGGAACAGTCACCAGCACCATTCATGTGCATTTGGAGAGCTCGGTTCTCCAAACCTGTTAACATCAGGACCCGTGACTTGGGAGCAGGTAGCTTTTGCTTGAGAAGATTCTCTTCTCATCTTCTTAATAAACAAACCACACAGCCACCCAGAACGCAGCAGCAGAATACAACTGTAACTTTTCAGCTTTAACTGTCTTGGAGGGTTGCAGTTAGGAGCAAGCCTTGTATGCCAACTTAATGTGTGACGTATTTGCGTGGAAAAAGTAAATACTGTCTTCCTTCCAGATGCCCTTAAGTGACCCAAAATATTTAATAAAACCTTCCCCTCGGAGAAAGCCTTTTGTCAGAGGCATCCATCGGCATTCAGCTTTGGCTCAATGCAGAGAGCGGTGTTGGGCTTGACGTGGATGAATCTTTAATCTGCTTGTCTAATAAGCAGCTCTGATAGCTGTTCTGCTCTCCGCGTTGCCGGGGTCGAGGCTGTTTCCTCTTAGCTGAAGCCCTGGAGCCCGTTCCCCAAAGTGCACAGTCCCTTGGACTGGAAAATTGCAGTTTTGTCTTGATTTTGTCCCTGCACGGGGGTCAGTGCTCCTAAGTGAATATCGGAAATCTCTCAGAGAAGCTGCCTGCCTAGTGCTTTGTTAAGGGAACATTTGAACCCTCCGTTCCCCCCTTCCCTAGCAACAGAAGAGCTTGTGCCTGGCTCTGGGCGGCCCAGTCCTGGTTGGGAAGGTATGCCACCCCGGAAACCTGGTGCTGGCCCTGCTCCAGAGTCTCCCCGGGAGGGTCTCAGCTGGGCAGGTCATTCTGGCAGGTGCTGCTAGAGCAGAGTCCCCAGAGCCGTCGCCAGGTCCTTGCGAGCACATGGAAGCCTTTCACCGGCCCCCACCAGGGACACAAAGAGACGACAGTTTGATAACTCTATATTTAGCACCAGTTAGGAGAGCTGGGGGAAAAAAAAAAACAGGGCTGAAATTCCTGAAAGGTACTTAACTGCCTGCCGTTGGTTGAAAGGTTCGGAGGAATTAGCTAGAGCATCCTTCAGAGCTGGTTGGATTTTCTGGATAATTTCTGCCGTGATTTCCCGACCACGTTTGGCTGAGGCTCCCGGAGAGGGGCTGGAAGAGTTCAGAGGCGAGGAAGGACGCGATCTCTCCCCCATCACACACAGGGACTGTCTGCTTTGTGCCCCCTCCCCCCTCCCGCGTGGGTAGCTGCCATGGTAAAGAGTGTGGTGGGTGTATTTCTTTCAGCCTTGCAAGCGCTTAAACATATGGAACTGTACTTGGTAAGAGTCAGCACAAATCCCCCAGCTTGGCGACCAGGGGCCCCCTATTATTCAAGCCACTTTTGTGCCTGCTATGGCTTTGCAAATCAGCGGCGCTGTTACTGTCCCTGCTGGGGAAAATGGACGCGCCTTGCTCCATTGACCCATTATGCTCAAGGTCTATAAAGTCAGGGTGGGTGGAGAGCCCCCGACAGAGGGTCCTTGTGAGCGGCAGAGCCTGCTAGTTGGAGGGAGCGGGGAGACTTTGGCTTCAAGGCAGAGGTGCTCTTAGCCGTTCCTGGCACCTTGGCGTGGTGTGTGGTATATTTCTTTCTCGTTACAACAGTGATGTGTGTGTGGGGTGCCCATGGGTGGTGTTTCTTTTCAGAGAGGTGGCACTGGGGTTGGCGGGGAGCCGTGTACCAATGCTGTCGCCTCCCCCCGGGTGATTTAATGGCCGGACCGTGGAGGTTCCCAGAGTAAATCATTTCGTCTCCGCCCCGCCCCCGCCCTGGATGCAGGGAACTTGGGAGGCATGAGGCTTCTGCATGAGCTGCGATGCTTGAAGCCAGTAATGAGCGTGGTGGTTGCCATGGTCCAAGGGAGCACAAGAAAGCCCTCGCTTGTGGGTGGGTGTGAAGTCGGGGAGGGTGGTCTCTGGGTCAGCAAAGCCCTTGCAGCGGCCTTGTGCCCCCTGCGTTGTGTGCGGATGGGCACCTCCTTTCTTCTCTCCTGGCTCAGAAATTGAATGGGGATGGAGAGGGTGCATTTCCCTTTGAAGCGACGGGATTCAGCAGATGCATCGCCTCCCATCACCGTGGGGAGACGGAGGCACCCTGGCACGAGAGGCAGCATCATGCTGTGGTCGTGGTACCACCACCTCTTCCCCAGAGTAAATGAGTGGACTTGGAGAGCAAGAAGTGGCTTAAAGCATCTCCTCCAACAGCTCCCCCTGCAGGTGGCAGAGGAGATTGGGCATGGGAAGTGACTCGCTCAGGGTCACACGGTGAATTGGTGTCAGACTAGGGCTCGTGGCTCTCACAATTTCTCCGTTTTTTAAAAACTGCTTGCCCAGGACTTTCTCACCCTACACAGTGGAGCCTTTGTGGTCAAGGAGTTCTACTGTCTGGTCCTTTAGAGGACTGTGACTTCATTTAAGGAGCCCAAGGTCAAGAGACAGACAGCCACTGGGGGGTGGCTAAAATAGCAAATGTCAACTCAGAAAGGCAGGTGTAGCAAATCATCACGGTGATGATGGTGATGGTGATGATGGTGGTGATGGTGATGGTGATGATGGTGATGGTGATGATGGTGGTGATGATGGTGATGATGGTGATGATGGTGATGGTGATGATG